TATGTAATTACGATTTCTGCGAGGAAATTCTTTTTCGTATATTTTAATTTTATTGTTTCATAACCACAAAGTCTCTGATTCTGACCATTCAACGTGTTGAATATTTAAGTGGTTCTTCATGGGAACTCATAATCTACCTAGGCTATTTAATTAAATGATTTTCCGAAGAAAGTTACGAAACAAATGTCAAAATAGACGGTGTAATTTTATACGATACTTTCAGCAATAATCAACACTATTACAGTTTAAAAACTAATCATTGCAGGAAGCGTTTAATAATATAATAATATATTGCGTAATATATGTTCATGAAATGGTCACGGGGCTGAAAGAATTACAGTTATTCGATTTTAAAACCATATCTACCAGTAAACGTATTCAATAACACATAATCTTCCTCAAAAATGGTATTTACTTGGCTAGCCAATCAAAACCCATCATAAAGTCTACCATTGAAATCTGTCTTTGAATCCTTCACACTCTAATTTTATAAGGTCAATTTCAACATTAATCTTCCATGTACGGCTGTCTCTTTTTTAAGGTTTAGTGACCAGAATGTTAATATTTCATCGCTTTAATGCGTGACACATCTCCTCCCTTCTCATTTTCCTTAATCGCACTAATACTATTGTATGAAGCGTGTAAATTATGAAACTACTAATTATGTAATCTTATCCATTCTAGTATTACTTCCTCTTTCTTTAGTAAAAACAGTCTCCTAAGTTCTCTGCGCTCAGATATCGACATCACTATATGTCCGCGCAAACCTAAAACTGTTGTAACAAGTCTGCAGCGGATGTGGAAAGGACCGTAACACAGCGCCTGTGAGAAATTGTTCCGCGCAACACAGGTGTCGGAAAAGTTGCCGTATGGTCGCGGCGGAGTGTTCAGCTTTCAGCGTGCTGCTGAGTTTTTACCAATCTGCTGCGGCAGAAAGAAAATCTTAATAATGGGCCACGGAAATTATTATTTCGTATTAGACTATGATAATCAGTAATTCTGAAGGAGGAATATGCTATGGTCATATTAGTGAAAAGAAAACATATTGAAGCATTGAGTTTATTTAGGATACGCAGACTAAAGAAATTCCATATAAGTGTGTCCCTTCCTACCATAGTACTATGCAGGAGTAAAGAAAGAGAATTAGGGTAGAACTCCTAGCTCCGGCTATCACTGCATAGGGCTCTTGGTGCACCGAAGAAATTAGATTCCGTCATAAATACGTATGGCTACTTCTGACTCTTAGCACTTTTAATTAAAATAGCTCATGAATCACCTGGAAATATCAAGACTACACCTAAATCTGAAATCTTGAGATGAGTCACGCATGTAGAATGTGTGGTAAAATCAAGGAATGCATAGCCCTGCATTTTTATCATACACTACATACAACCCTTTAAAGAATGTGGAAAAAATAAACGATTAAAAATACAAAACGTAATATTATTAATAATATTATTAGCATAAAATCTTTTCAATCTGCCCTGTCGGACAGAACTGTTTAACAACCTTTTTTTTTGAAGCTGTCACATGGGTGTAACATAAGTTTGGCCTTCACGTAGTAAACGATACAGCAAAGTTTCACGTTCATGTACAGTACAAATATCCTCGCAAAGGAAAGTGACTCAAATTTCCCCCTTTGGACTCAGAAGGCTATCAAATGTTTCTTTCATCATCTCGTTATATCGCCCGCTTGAATTCCCCTTTTTTGAGAAAGTGGGGTGGGGTGGGGGTGACGACTTCCCGCCTCTGTCGTGATGCCAGAAAATGGCTCCGAGTACAGCATCTTCCTTCACCACTACGTCACTCCTAATGGATTAGATTCTGTTCTGGCCCTTGCGAGAGATTGCTGCCGTTCACGCTACTAGACTACATATACACATAAGCTGAAGCACGGCTCATATTGCACAAAAGAGACGTTCTCCCTCCCCTCCTAAATACACATCCATAGACAACATTTTGTATCAACTACTCTGAGAAAATCTCACTTCAATTACTGTAGATTGCTAATCGTAATTCCAGGCTATAAAGGTAGAATTCTGATTTCGTGTTAAAAGAGATCTTTTTTAAAGGTTCGCGTGTTTCAAAATTACTTTAACATGAGATAAAAATTTTAAAAGTGGAAAATCGTAAAATTCCAATAAATTCGAAGCTTCCCACTAATTTCATTCCTCGTAATTTAAATAAGGAACATGCAAGCAACGTTCTATTATCAGTTAACAGATGTGGTAAGCTTTGCAGTTTTAAACTTCAGTGTACTGTATATATATTCAACATAAAATAGCGGAAATTTCTAATTCGGAAGAAACGGAGATTTATGAAAATTTTATTGTGGCTGACAATGAATTATCTTTCAGCATAATTAATATCAGACTCTAAATTCCACTTCTTATAATAAAGCAAACGGCGAAAAGAATCCTGACTAAGAATTTTTATATTTTATTTGGTGCCTCCAGAATACTGGAAAAGTATTAAAATAGGTCACAGTGTTATTCTTACAAAACTTTGCTTAATCGGGACTATATTCCCCACCTCATTCGATGTTGTGTAACATTCCGTCGTAACAGCGTCGTTAAGTAAGGCAAGATTCAATCAACGTAAACTGTATTTATTTTTTGTATTATAATCAGTTGTTTACAGAATATAATATTAATTGTTATATCATATGCGTATTAAGATTTATCAAGCATGTTTTAGATATAATTTATACAGTTTTAACAGTAAAAAGGTCCTTCAGGGGTGCTACATGCCAGGAACACGTAACATGACTGGGGCAGATGAGAAATTAATATATAAATATAGTCGAAAAATCTTCAGACGAAAAATTTTGGTACGGATCTTAAATTGCTTCTGGAATGATTCGACTGGCTTAAAGTAATGCCCAATGTTAAGCTCCTGTGGATTAGCCAGTGAACTTTCGTGCCCCATAAAAAACCGGAGGAATCTGACAAGCTGATAAACTGTGACCCAGCTACATGACGCTAAATAATTAATCGAGTTTCAAGGGCTTTCGGAGTGGTCATGCCTAGCAGTTTTCCTTACTGAACTCATTGAAGATTTTCTTACGAAGTCACGGTAAAAATTTTGCTAGAGTAGCTCAAGTTTGAATTTGAGATCTCGCTGCCTTCTGACGTGTGAATCTTCTAATAATCCAGGCAAATTTTAAGTAAATTGCGACTCGTTATGTATTGTGTACTATGTCTTAAATAAACTTGTGAATTTCTGTGGTCTTTTCGCTAAATCTGCTGCCTATTTCTTTTATTTCTAACGTGAGTAAATACGTCGCCGCAGAGTGGAGTCAACAGACCAATGTTACCAACCCCACACGTTCCAAAAGAACTGTGACTACTACACGATGATTAAGATCGGCGCATGTTGGCTACTGAATGATTCTTCTTGCAACTTTTATTCCTCGATCTCTGAGTGAAGCTGCCTTCAGCAAACAGGATGTGGACAATCACTTACCCGTCATCCTTTGTAGGTGCTTTTTCAAGCTGCGGAGGTGGGTGTTGTGGAGGTGGCATGCTGTAACACGGTCCAGGGGAGTATCCGCTAGACGCGGGGGCCGGGTAGCTGGTAGGTATCGCCCCAGGGTAGCCTGCACTGCCGCCCCCACATGAATACGCAGCTGTCGGATAGGGGGTGTAGCTGTTGGCAGGGTACTCAGCCTGGACACCCGCCATGGCATACCCTGGGTGAGGACTCATAGGCGCGTATCCTGAAACAGGCATCGAAATGGGGTCTGCGGTCATTATAGTGTGTTCTTCACGCTGCAATGGAGATCTTCAACAGTTGGTAACCTGTAAATTAACGGATAACCCCCTATTAACCGTTAAATTGACAGTTTACTGTAGCTGAATTAAATACTGTAATATATCCTCATGCGTAATAATTAATCACAAGACATCAAAATTAATTAAAATGTTTCACATGATAAATTTCATATGATTACGAACACTACGTAGTAAGCACAGACAAACATAGTATATAATTTAGAATATTCCGCAAGACGATATATATACAGATTAACAGTAAATAATTCCAAAATTTTAATTTCGTTTAGCCGTTCAGTAAAAGTGTAATGTATTCGCAATGAAAACTACACTATCAAAAAATTAGAATGCTGCTGATAGATTGCGCTGAAGGGCTTATGTTATAAATGATGTGATAACGTATTGATGGCTGACAATAAGCGCATGCTAAATTCTGTTAAGATGTACTTAAAAAACGACCATCAACATCAGTGATTCATCTTTCTAAAGTCACACGCAGATTTCGGCTGTTATATGAATGCAAACATACCGATTCCCCCCTGTTCATTGAAACAAGCGACTGTGACGTCATTGTCTCTCTCTACGCCTGCATTGTGCTACGTCTCGGCCACGTCATCACACGACTCGACGGACTCGCGCTGTTCCAGTGGCCGTAGTATCAATGTTCGTTTTCAATAACTGTTCCCCTAGGTACCATTGAGAACAATGTCCGACCATACATGTTTTGTCCAGTCTCCAAAATATTGATTGGGCTTATAAACAATGAGTAACTTTTTAAACGTGGCTGTGTGTGTGTTCGTGTTGAGTTTTGAGTTTTATTATTATTATTATTTTTTTAATTTCCCCCATTTGTCGGTGGTGAAGAGCGAGTTTTGCGAGGGGGTGGGTGTTGGTGGATGGCTGGAATGGGTGAGAGCAGTAGAAATGTATATGTTCTACCCTAGGGGCATAGTCGATGTGCCCCTTTTTTGTGTTTGCCTACAATTCTACGTGGTCAATGCACATTCCCTTGTTGACTGCCTGAATTCCTACTAACACGTATTCACGTATGTATAGTTCAGTTAGACAAAAATATACACATTTTATATAAATTACCGTACTAAATCGTTTACCACTGTACAAGTCTTCAGACGTGCAGAATATTAATGATTTATAAGCACTTTGGAAAAAAAGTTTCATTTGTTTTAGTTTGAACGGTGTGTCATATACCATACACGCCCAGTGCAGTAACTCACTGTTAGCGTATATACATCACATTCGATAGACCTGAACAGTTTAAATGCACCCATGATCCGAGTCTTAAAACCAGTAAGATCAGATTGACATTACTGGAAGTCTGGACTTCGACAATCCAAACTGAAGACGGCGGTCCTCAGGTGAAAGACTGGCGACTAACCACTTAGTTGGGAGCGGACTTAACTCAGCGTGTGCTTCCAACCGAAGCCCAGAACCACAGCAATACCAAATGCAACATACCATCGTTGGGGCCCTTGACAACTACTGTACCGTACAGACGGAAATACACTATAGTACAGAATGATTCGTAAATCCCTATCCACTCATGGTGAACTTTAAATTTGAAACAACTTACTAGCCCAGGGTTTGAGGTCCTAATGGAGGTGAGTACGAAGATGGCTGTCTTCTGGTTTGTAGCGCCTCGTAGTCTCGTAGAAGTTTACCAACCATGGTTCGCCCTGATGATGGAGGTAGCAACAACCTCTGAAACGTTGATAAACTTCTACCAAACTACAAGGATCTACAACCCAGTAGATCGCCATCTTAAAGTAACCAGTTAGTCAAAGCCATAGAGTCACTTGACTCCAAGTCAGGAGCGCTTCTTAGGGGGGAGGGGTGCACAAAGATTTTGAATAACTTCCCACTTCCAATATTTGTTGTTTTTACAGGAGTATAGGAGCTTTTGGATCATTTTGTACAATTAACTTTATATGTTATTAATTTAATAACTTTATTGCATATAATTAAAACTGTTGTGAAGAAACATTCACTAAAATTCTCCTCACTGATTTTCTGTAGCGAAGCAACATAATAAATAACCTATAAAGTTAATTAGTGAGATTTCAGGTTCTCACGAGGGGGAGTAGGAAAATGGGTTTATTCTTGGTGTTTGCTGCCTCCATCATCAGGGTGATTGTCCTGATGATGGGTTTTAGGTAATAAATACTGTTGTGTATATTGAGAGCGAACTTAAAGTTGTCGACGGTAATTTTATCCTAAACTTCATCAAAATTTCTTTATATATTTCATACTGCACTATTTAAACTCAAATCCTCTGAGGACTTTTCACAACATTGTGTTAGATCCCGTAAATTTCACAGCGTCCGTCGTTTGTCCCTGGGTTAATCTATATGCAATAATTCATACCTTATATTAATTTAATTTTGTATTTCAAATTTGTATTTTAAATTTTAATCAAACTTAATCTTGGTCCATATCCAGTGGCATGAAGGTAATTGAATTTATTCCAGATGGAATAACAGCGAAATCCGCTTTATGCAAAAGTCGATATTAATTTTACAAGACTCAGTTCAATAAGTCGAAATATATCGAGAAATAACTTATTCGGATATTGTGTCTGTACAGTGAAAATTCTCTTCATATGGATCTTAGGGAGACAATCCAATTGTGGAATTTTATATTACAAGGAGCTGATTTTCGAGTTATCTTACCACGGTTTTAGTTATAATTTCTCTTAAAGAAGTGCAAGTTCAGATATAACGATCGTAAAATACGTAAATAAAATTTAACTGAGAGAAATATCGTTAACAAAGGTCGATATTTGTTACACACCTTTCGAATCTTATGCACTATTGGAAACTTGGAAAACTGAATATTTAAAACCTTGTAATAAGGATAATACACAGCGTTCTATTCATAAATTGGGTCAAGAATCTTGTTATGCATTTTCTCGTAAGCAGTTGTTAGATCAGACGACCGGTTTGACAGAGCTAAAAGTTGGTCGCTTGAAAACAAGGCGCGTAACAAACTGGCGAGATAGCGTGCAGCAGTTAGCCTTTTACCAGCACACTTGCGCGGCTAACCACGATAATTGCCACTAGGTCATAAAGTTCTCGCAGACTCGTTGAATTGAAAAATGAAAATTGCCAATGTAGTAACTCTATACAAAATGAATGGGGTGGGAGGGTCACCCTCAACACGTACAGGTAGCGACATATATAAAATGAATTGATCCCCAGCTTCCCTTTTTCCACCCCTTCAATTCAATTCCTCCCTTTGACCCTACTAAACCTTGTTCGATCCAATGTGACCAAATTAAACACAAAAAATAGATGTATTCTTTAATTTCTTTCTCTACGTATCGTGCACGGGGTAGTAAATTCAATTGATTAATTTGGAACAAAAGTATGATAAAGATAATTCTGTATATTAATTTAAAAATACAGAAAACAGGACCTACAGCTGCTCAAATTCACGGTGGGAGGGGAGGGGGGGAGACAACTTCCCCACTTTCTAAAAATGTATGTATCACTAAGTAATTGAAAATCTTTCTAAATTTAAATATATGGAAGGAATAAATACAGACAAAAAGAGGATCATAAATTAACCAAGTGAAGATAAAATCAGAAAATTCCTATTATGTTCAAGAAATGTTAGAATCCCAGTTTTCAAAACACGGAAAATTAAAATTGTAGTATACGTGAAGCAGTTTCACACGACGTTTTGCATTGGTGTGAAACTTGATCATTTAATATTAATTTATTTTGAAGGAAGTATATCAGTTACAGTTGTTAGAAAGCAACGTCATTAGGAAAGCATATGAACCTGTGCGAGGAACTTTCAGAGTAACAGGGCAATGAAATAAAAAATATTAAGAGCATTGGGCGTGCAGTTCCGATGGAAAGCTAAAGTACATACAAAATTTAGGTGAGAAACATTACGAAAAAAAATATGACTGTCTTCTGTGTTGCTGCGCCGTGCAGTCTGGTACAAAATTGTAATGCCGCCGTGAGAACTTGAAATCTCACCTGGAAACTACCTGGTGCACTGTGGTTTGGGGTTCAGATTCATACTTTTATTTAGAATCTACAGACCATGCGATCTTGTCTGTAAAACGCCTGTCCGTATTCTCCCCTGTATAATTAACTCTGCCATGTAACGCATTTCACAAAAAAATTTCTCTGCCCCCGATTTCTTCCCAGCAACCAATTCCCGCTGCTCGCTCGTTCTTAATTCGAACGTCTCTAGTTCGCATTGCTGCTTGCTACATCCACTGCATATTACCAACTAATTCGACAGCGAATGAACGAGTTGTGGATACCAATTATTCCGCAGGAACGATACTCTGAGAGGCTGTTAGAGAAATGGAAGGAACGCAGAACACTCATCGATAGTACACGCAGTTTCTTGAAAATCGTAGCCAAGTCCAGCATTTCGCAGTTTTTCCAACTGATCTGTACGTAGACGTGCTCAGTTTAGAACACTGGGATCTGGTACCGAGTGCACGTACTCCAGAATGTTCAACAGCAATCATAATTTTCTTTTCGTTACGTTTCTACCATTTCAGTTCTAGAACAGAGTGTCTCCTCTTCATGTCCCATGCACTTAGGTTTACTAATTACAGTCAGTAAGTGGGTAGAATTTCCCTTCTCTTATGAAAGACGGGATATAAATTCAATGTTTCAGGAAAATTCACGTAATCGTTTAACGATTTCTCTTAAGAAAGATGGAGGATCTCTGTATTTTAATGCTACGATTTATAAAAATTATATTCTCTTTGCAATCATTTCCAAGAAGTGAACGCATAACAGATTGATTGTGTCTCTCAGAATGTTTCATTTATCAGACTACTGGACGTAAAATGATGAAAATTGGTAAGGAAAATACATCGAAACTCTTCTTTTCAATGTCACTCTATTCTCTTATATTTCTTACAATGCATAAGTATATAAATTATATTTATTCTGGTTTAAAGTATGCATAATAAAACTATATTTCGAATAAAATAAGTTGTAAGGTAAATAATGGACACTTCTTATTTAAACTACAGCATTTAAATTAATTTAATAGTTTCGAAACGAACGTGGATAACCATATATTTATGTAAGAAATATAAAAATTGGAACTTAGTACAAAACACACACAGTACCGACAATCGATTTATTTAAACGACTACCTAGTTGTCCTACAAGATCGACTAATGCGAGGTTACAAATAATTATACAGAATTTAGAAACTGAGTGTCATTCGAACCGCAGTGCTAATATATTTCCATTTTCAAAACATGTACACGTATTTTGGAGGTTATTTGTGATTGGCAATCGAAAAGAAAAAAAAACCAGCAAAAAATCACGCAGGCACGATAATATTTGTTTCTGGCTTTTACAAATGTTGAGTTTAGCTATAATACGAGGCTAGAATAATAATAAGCTCAGAACATGCTTTTAAGATATTACGCTGGTTTCCTAAATAATATAAAACTTTGCGTCCTAGCTATGCCTTCTGTCTCTGCCCCTGATAAATTTTGAGTGAAATAAATTTTAAGAAAAGTTTACAAAAGTGGCACCACTATGGGCTACTAATAGCAGTCTTTTTTAAGTCACTACGCAAACGTCATGAAGGAGGTATGTCTATTCACGATAAGCGAAGACACGCCGACATCCAGCGTTCTGATAGAATGTTACAAGGCATGATTACACGATAGACATTCTTCTGATCTCATTTAATCAATTAACGTCTACAATTGAAAATACGATTAATGAAAACTGATAAATGGCTGCAACTACAGTTAAGATAAAGAAACAACAACAAAAAACCTGTTAAAATAAAATGGTAGTTGCGTACTTGTTTATGGCTTTAAAATGGGAGGATTGTGGCAATCGATGTTTATGGACGCACATTTATAATCTGACCACAACAGTAGTTGTAGGCCTATTATACACCAAAATTCCTGCGAACTTTATGGCTAATATTTATACTATTATAAATCCCGTTTCTGTCAGAGTCATTATAAACTTTATGATGTCCATTCCAGTTACTACAATGCAGTCTGTGTGCGGTAAACAATTCATTCGTTTGTAACAGAGAAATGCAAAAAAGGTTTTGTTTCTAAAGTTTCGCTTCGCCGAGAATTCTACGAAAGAAAAACCTTATTTCGGCAAACACAAGCGACTGAACCTCACAGCAATATCAGACACCCTCTTCTGTGTAAATTACGGAGATCTGGTGATATTCGTATAGTTAAGATGAAAGCACGTATTCAAAAAAAAAAGACGTTATTATTTAGCTGAAAAATTTTACGTCTTCCATTATCCAAATTTTACGTGATAAAGTACGGCACATAAGATTAAGCGACCACATCCCAATAATTTCTTCATTAATTAATTTAGCTCTAAGGATTCGGTATAATTTTAAAGTCCGGTTACAGTAACAGACTTTAGACAATCATGTGTCTGCTGTCTCTTTTACGGAAGTAAGACTTTGTATTGTCAGATTCCCGCGTTTGTACAATCGTTAATTTTTAAATACAAGTGATGACGTGAAACAGTATGTTCATTTTGATTCATACAAAATAAAGTAGTCTGAAAACATGAAGAGAAGAGACGACTTGGAATACCTAGCCGTTAAACGGAAGACAATATCAAAATTGATGTCAAAAAAATAGGGTTTGAGTTTGTGGACTGGATTAATCTGGCTGAATGAACGGGACCAGTTGTGGGATCATGTGAACATTGTAATGAACAAGGCTAGGCGATTATTAGTTTTTCATGAAGAACCTTTCTCTGGATTTTATTACACAATTTTAGCTATAAAAGTGTCTCTTGCATGCTCCGTGTTCCATAAACGCTGGACGATTTCAGATTTTAAAACAGGCGGAATAATTGGTTCTAAGATATATCGAAAATTGTGACATGGTACATTTATATTTAACATAGGAGTAGACGTAATAGAAATAAATGAAGTAACGTTTATATTTTTGCCTACAAGAAAATAACGAATGTACGTGAGTGGGACACTGTCTAATATTCGAGTGAGTACCAACCAATAAAATATTAAAAAAAAATCATTGAAAAAACGGGGGTTGATTCCCGACAAGGCAAGTAGTTTTACCTTCGCCATAACCTACAAGCGCTCTTTTCCACGGGACAAAACGGCAGAGCGAGAAACAGACCACTTAACTCCGTTTAATGCCGAGATTATTAATGAGCGCATTTGTCTCACCTGCATGTAGAGGCACCTCCTCACAGGGAACAACGTCAAATTTTATCCACACCGCAGTTTGCAACAGGTTGACTTACGCTTTACCGATATAACTCGAAACCTGAAGACGCTTAGCTTCAAACTTTGGGACTGGAACAGATCACAGTCTGTCCTCGCAACATATTTCTTTACCTACCTCCCATAACCTGAACCTTCCTTCTACGAACGTTAGCCTGCCTCGCGTCTTACCGTTAGCTTCCCGATAGGAGTCCAGGTAGTGGGAGCCGCCACTGTCTGGCGTTGACTCCCGACTGTAGCCTCCTGCAGTCCCTGTCGCCGTCGAGAAACCAGGCACTGGACGCACCCCACTGCTGAAGTTTACTGGCTCGTTGGCTGTCGAAAAGTCCACTGGTTCAGTCTGCTCCTCTATGGACCGCGGGCCAATGAAACCAGGGCCCACAGGAACAGCTTCTCCCGTGTACATCGGACTGGTTGAGTCACTGTGGCAAAATAAATCACAAAAGTCTGAATACTCGTCCTGCACACCTCGTGCGCAATTATTCCGATGCCTATTTCTTCAGTCGCGCTGTCTGTATGCAAGTAACCACTCAATAATGGGATTTTTCATAAAATTTTGATTGTTGTTACCAAATATCACGTGATCCAGTTTTAATCCAAGTTGAACAACAATAATGAGCAGGCATACTTTATGTGAAGACTTGCACTCATTTGTAGGATTTGAGGTTTTCACGGCGGTGAGTCTGAAAACTTCTGTCTTCTGAGTTGTTGCGTCTTGTAGTCTGGTAGGAGTTTACCGGCGTTTCAGAGATCCTTACTGCCTGCATCATCAGGGCGATAAATCTCTAACTTCCTTAATAATGCATCTGTACTGAGTGATTTTGAATGATCTACATTTTTCGAATAAACGTATTACAGTTTTTAAATATTATTTTAATATGAGCTCGTTATTAAGATTTTCATATTCAGATACCCTTTCTTCGTTATCAAAATACCATCTGAAATAAACCAGAAGTTAAGAATCACAACGTTTTATGTAAACCCTAATTAAAAATTGAATACTTGTAGACCCTACACAAAACAACCTGTGACTTAGATGTTTCCTCGTTACGCGGTTTTCTTCAGGACCGTACCTAAAGCGCAAATTGGGTAGGAAATAGTGTAAAGAAAAATTGATAGGGTAGTCCCATATTTAGTAACACAATGGTTAAAAATTCTTATAATTTAAATAATAAATATTTGCAAACGTCACACCGTCTTTATACTTGGTACAAAGATGGGATCAATATGAATCTCGGCACGACAGAAAAGAAAGTTGCACGTTGAAGATTTCGTCTAGAGTCTGCGACGCTCAGCTTGACTTCTTATACGTCATATGACGTAAGCAGGGGACGGCGGTTTCCTTAAAGATTCCGTTTCGTTAACCCGAGGCGACACTGGAGCGCCATGGGGTCGGCACCAAGAAATGAAGAAGAAATATAATTAAAATGGACTAAATGAGAGAGGGGGTAGAGATAGAAGGGAAAATAATAGGAAATGGCGCAGTACACACCCACTGAGAGTTGGAGAAATACGAATTTCGTGCGGTAGAGAATTTTGTGTTTTTAAACGGGAGTGAGGGATTTGTTGAGACGGGAACGGAAGAATGCTGTGATGAGCTGATCTTACCGCATCACTGGTCCTATAGAAATGTCAATTTACTTGTTCATCGTCTCGAGTGGATTATATAATAGAAACAGGAAAAAGAGGTAGGGCCCATCTGCATCCACTTCAACCCAGTGCTATAACAGCTTGAGCTGTACAATTCATCAAACTCCTTATGCCCATTGTACATATTTTCAGTTTGTATTCGCGGGCTACAAAGATGGCCGCTCGAAAGAGACAAGTCAGCTCTGAGGCAAAGTTTTGAAAATGTATGCAGGCAAAGAGGAAAAGAGTGCGGATTGTTTTCAAACAAAATGCGAAAGTTTCCCTTTAAGGCTTGAATTGGAAATGAAAGGCGTGATGGGATATAAGGAATAGGATGCGGGCGAGAAAGATATAGACCCATAAAGTTATAAAACCAGGACAGACGATTCTAAGAAAAGTGAGGTGCAGTACAATTCTTACTACTGGCACGTTTTCGTGTCTTTAGAAATCATCAAATGAAGAAGCAAATGAAAATTACAAGAATCTCATATTTTTATTTCTCCAAAAGTTGTGAACTGGGACTTCGTATTCATGAGGTCTCGGGCTCGAATCTCAGCCCGAAGACCTGCTGAGGTTTCTCCTCAAAGCCTGCAGACAAATGCCGGGATACTGTCTTTAATTAGACCACAATCGCTTCCTTCAAAATACTTTCAGATTCATTATTCATTGCTCACCCTGTCACTCGACGCTGGTAAGTTTTATCTAATAACATACATCAAAAACGAGAACCTAAAATCTAAATTTTTTACCGAATTTTAAAATCAGAATGTTAGTAACTGATTTAAAGCTGAGCTACAGTAGAAGAAAATGGGAAGCTATAATTTTTAAAGTGTTCTTAACTATTAATAATGTACAATGGACACAAAACTTGGCTTGGGAATTAGATTACGATAACAATTCAGGAGGCGACGGCTTCCTGGTTTGTAGATGAAGTCCATCTTCAAGAAAATATTTCCTATGTTGTAAATTTTTTCTATAGTTGTATTTTACAAAGTTATGCATCAATTAAGCATTGCTAAATTACTTCTGATTTTCTACCGAAACAATATTTCCTTAATATACTCATTTTAATATATTTCTGAGGGCATCTATTTCGAGGATAATCAAATTATGATAAGCGCACTTCTAAGTAAACACTTCTAGCAAAACAAAGCTATCTGAATTTGGGCTCTCACGATATATTGCCATGGAAACAAAATTAGTACGTTGTCGATGCTTCAAGTCCCATAATAAGATAACTCTCTAAAACTACCTTCTATTAATTCTGTGCATGTGCGTACAAACGTTCTTTTCAACAATCTCAGATCGTTTGTGAAAACCTTACATTTTAATTTAGCGTGTGTTTCGCTTTTGTGTACCGTTTATAAACAGTCCTGAGCAGTATCATTTTCATAACTGTAGAAAACATTTGTTTTCGGATTCGGCCAGTATTTCTTTGGCCCGCAAAATTCCACCGTTCTATATGATCACACTCACCCTGGATTATAATTATTACTTGGTTCTATAGAAACGGGTTTAATGTTAATTTCATTGAACTTCAAATGTTTAACCGAATCTCCCTATATCTTACTTTTAGGGAGTAAAATACGTTTCCCAACTTAAGGCAGAAATGACAGAGGCCTATATAAATATTATTAACGTAAACTACGTTATTAAAGCAGGTAAGCAAATACGCGCTAAAGTAGACACATAGGCTTTTTATAGTGAACGTAATTGTCATATATCAAATATAAACCTTCTTGACGATGGTGAAGAGTCAATTGAATAAACATTTTCTTGGATATTATCCATCGTCTAGTAAAAATAAAACGTAAAACGACGTTTCGGAGATGGGACTCTATCTCCGTCTTCAGGTTCCTACACAGTTGGGCCCACTAGATAGAGCTAATCCCTAATTCATAACAATTTTATAATATCAATAAAAATATTCATTTTCGTAAGTGTATATGTAGTTAGTATGTATAAACTTAAACATTATCCGAAACATTATGAGTAGGCAAATATCTAAGGAACAAACGTATTTTAACAAGACTTAATTTGCATTTTATTTTGTGAATTAAAAACCTGGAAAAGAATAAACTATGTCAAACTGAACCGCCATCCTATAATACAAAACCCATTCATTCCATCCATAGGCCTACGAATTTTTTACGACTGAAAAGTGGACGAGATCTGAATTGATACTTCAAAAGAAACGTGAGATAGAATAGTGAAATTCTGACATAGGACGTGTATCTACATACCAATCTTTATTAAAACGTGGGTGAGTAAACGCTTAGAGTGTGCATGCGGGTGCTTAATATTAAACGTAATTTTGTAGAAATTACTTGAAATTTTATAGGGCACGTAATAATAAATTGTAGGCTAGCTCGCCTAAATATATAGAATATAACAATAATTAAACGCCAAATAACATATTTTTGTACCTTGTTTCCGGAACGTGAGCCTGTTTTATTCTTTCGTTAACAAATTAACTGAACGCTAGATCTGAAAGTTCTTTTAGCTGCCTTTAAGGTTTGTGTTATTGAATACGTGAGTTTCAGAGGTCGAATCCAAGAAGAACTACTCGTGTCAGTTTACTGGAACAATTTTAGTATTGTGTATTATATGACTCCCAAATTACTAACCTCTTGATGTGCTTTGGCCGTAAAGGAAAGGCATCTTGTAACAAGAGTTCGTATTACAAACATTATCCTTTAACAAAGCTGGCAGTACCACAGAGTTGTTACGTTGTCCTAAATAAGTCTTAAGATAACGCTTATTTCCCGTTTTTAGTGTGTCTTAACTGCTTCCTCTAGCTCCCTTGACGACGCACGGAATCCGGCAAAGTTGCGGTTTGGCCTACAAGCACACAGAACGCCGCTTGTGGCGAGTTCTGCAGTTAATACTAAGCATTACCTCGCAATCTGGATGAACCCGTAGCACAGAAAGGGACACAAAATAACAAAAGAAAAATCTAGAAAAAGGAAAAAAAAAGGGGGGAACGTTAAAGAAAAGGCAAAAAAGTAGTAAGGCGTCAAATATAAATTTCATTTAGCACACAGTACACATTTTCCTTTCTTGGTCCTGTATAATGCATCTGTGCAAGGCTCTTGCAAATGAATATTCACTGGCAGAAGAATGGTTGAAGCGGTAAAGTATTTGCCCATAAACCGGACTGACACTTGTTCTTTTGAGCTCCGACACATCTTGAAAATGTAACACTTGAAGTAGGCCATTTTGTATTTGGAAGGCACATTTAGTGCTTGTGGATTTCTGGCGATACATGTTCTTCTGAAGTAAATCAGCTTAACGGAGCTCAGGAATATGTTCAAATTGTTCCAATAAAAGGTACTTAATCCAGACAGAAAAACAGGAAATTTCTGTGTATTGGAGTGAAATATTATGATTATTTAAATTTTACGAAATCTTCAGTTTCAACGACTAGGTTTAGGGCCCTATTCGGTCAGGTCAACTTTTTATTGTTCTTTCAACAATCATTTCATGAAGATAACTGTCTTCTGGGATGTTGTGCCGTGTAAACTGATATAAGTTTACCGACGTTTCAAACGTACTTATTGCCTCCATAATCAGGGCAATGAATATCGTTGTTCGCACTCGCGCAAGCACACACATAAATATAAACAAGATAGCAAAGGACAGAGGAGGTCCCTAGTCTGACGGGTTCTGCTGAGGTTGAACCAGCCGTCTATTATTAAATGGGTACTTCGGTGCTTTCCTCGGGAGTAAAGCGGTCGAGGCATGAAGTTAACCGCTCACTTCCATCTACAGCCATAATTAAGAATGCCTGCATTGCCTCATACGTTTTCGTGGTGTCGTGCTTACTTGGGTACCACGAAAATCTATTACGCACGAGGTCCAAAAGACCTTTGCAATTATGCAGATTTCAGAACCGGCTGAAGGTGCCTATTGAATGAAAGGAAAAGGCGATGCGCTGGGCAAACTGAGTCGAAGTTAATATACGAAACAGAAAACTTCAAAATCCTTCAGCAAGAACATGATTTCACTGCCACCGTTAAATTGGAAATGTGGGAAGACAGCTTATTGAACGCCACGTTAAAAGAAAAGATGACACAACAACCCAGACCCATTTGTCCAACCAGCTATCTCAACGGATTACATATCAATAAATTCTACAAATCCAGAAAAGCATCAGGACCAGACAATATTACAAATTAAATGACAGAGTCCTTATTACTCGGTACAACCTCTTGTACAATTAACACATCAGACCGTCTTTTATCAACAGCAATACAATACCACAATTTAAAACATCATTAACTTTTTAAAAGTACTCCGGACTGTTTGTTTATTTATATTTATAAAACTAAATTACTTTTAATTTAATTTACGTTGTCATTATATGGTTAACAAAAGGGCAAACAGATGTAACTGCAGGCCAAATATTAACAATTTTAAAGGAGAATATGTGAAACAAGACCGGTCAATATGAATAACTATAGCCAAATTTTGCTGGTTACATCGCAAAATAAACTCGCATTAGGTGAACAAGCGACGGTCTTTTTAAATCCTATTAATTACAAATTATATATAAGCGCGGTTAAGACTCACCTGGCAGGGACCCTGCTGACACTCAAGTCAAGGGTCTGCCCCTGTGGACTGGGTACCTGGGGGCTGGCAGTATGGTGAGGGCTCGCGGCAGCTTGAGGACTGCCCCCCACGACGCCTCCTCTCTGACCACCCCCGTAATGGGGGCTCAAACTGCTGGCTCCATAACCCGGTGCCTGTAAAAGACAGGCCTACATCTTCTAGTCAAGTGAGAGCTTGAAAGCCGAATGTTGGAGTGCAGTGATGAACAATCCGAACTACCTGGTTAAATCTTGGGAGGAACATTGACATCCTGACTGGACGATTAGAAATTCCAGGCGAGACATTACTATCTGGAAACAGCTTACGATAACTTTCTCCTAAGTGGAATATAATTAATATATTTGAATGACCATCGTAGAAAAATAATTGATAAGGTGTAGTTAAATGAACGAAGGTTTTGAGTTAATTCCACTGGAAGAAAATTAATTATAAATTGATATATTAAGTACAATATGCCTAAAAAGAGTGATACACCTGGCGGTCCGAGGGTTACATCCGGCCCGAGACCACTTTGTAACTAGGATCTCGTAGTTATGTGCTAATTTGTTAATATTTATTTAATATGTTTTTTTATTCCGAATGATATTAGAAAATCGTGATTATTATCTCTTGTAAGTTCATAAACCCATTGACTTAAAACACTTCATTGCAATTTGCGATTTATATTTTATTCAACATTTGTTTTGTTAACGGGCATTTGACCACTTTCACCTTCTGTGTTGCTCGTTACGTGTATTAGTGGTTGTTATATGCAGATATGTATGAATTGATCAAAATAAACAACAGTCTTCCGTTGTTTACTGTAATTTGTGCTTATTCGTGTTGACACTTTGACATAATTTTACGAGACTAAAAGCACACATGTGAACACGCAAGCCAAAATTTGCCCTTACCTGCGGACTCGTCGAGGTGACGCTAGAGGTAGATAGGTCCATGACGGAGCCACCTGGTGACGTAGGTTCAGACGATTTCATCTGGGCCTGGGCCTGAGCCTGGGCTTGCGCAGCAGCGACGCATTTTACCGACAGATTTATCGCCGACGGAAAACCTGGAGGAATTCCTCCCGTAGCAGGGTCGTAGTGGTACATGGGCCTGGAGTATCACAAAACTGGAATCAGCTATTTTCTGGTAATAAAGTAATGAAGTGGCTGCGACAGAATGGCTCAGAATGCTACCTTACGTTGCCGACGACTGTAAGGACGTCACGAAATCACGTAAAACACCAATAATGTATTACACTAATGTAAAGGTGGCAAACGTAAGAACTCAGAATAAGGATGCCATTAAAATATAAAACCACAGGAAATTGCGTGGCGTTTTAGCTACTCATTTGCTGAACAATAGAAACTACATATAAGTGGTTTCCCATAGTCAATTATAGGTTTGCAAAACTCAAGTATCGATGCACTAAGGCAAGAAGTAACAGTTTTGTATAATGTCAACTTTTCGACAACGAATGATTGTGGTATAACGAATACCAATATTGTTAACAAATTTATTGTTGATTGTTCTTGTAATGAAGTGACAACCGGGAATATTACGTATGTGTTCATGAGAAAGAATTTTAATTATTAGATCTAGAAGAATAAATATGTTTTATATATGGTATTTTTAAGACTTAGGTTCATCTAAATTTTAGGTTATGCTGTGCCCCGAACAAATTAATTATAACTATAAGCTTAAATTGACAAATTAAAGCAAATATATTTCACAATTTTAATTTAAACCTATAATCGCTTTTATAATAGTAATGCATATTTGAGAAGATTCTGTTTATGATGTTTACAGAGATGGCTTATAAAACAGAGAACCAGACACGCTAATCTACTTCAATCTGTATTATTCGCATTATTTTACTCGACTGTGCTTGCAGTTTAAGCGAAATAACTTTTCTGCGGGCGTGCTTATGATTTAGAAGGCCGCTAAACCCCATACTTTGCGTCAGGAAATTTTCAGTGCCACACTACAGTTGTTACTGGACTGGTAGGGGTGCTCTAGATACCTGGGGTACAGCGGGCCAGTATTGGGTTCTGACTCTGGCGAGCCTTCAGGTTTCATCATTCCGGCAGATGCAGCGGCCATGCCAGCAGCTGCAGCTGCTGCCACGGCCATCTGATGCTGCTGCTGCTGCTGCTGCTGTGTCATGGCCTCTTGGTGATACTCCCTCACTTGCTGCTCATGCTCGCTGAGGGTTCCTTGACTTGTCGTGTAACCGTACATACTAGGCGGTGGCGGTGGCGGAGGCGGTCTCTGTGGATGTTGTGGAGGCTGTTGTTGCTGTTGCTGAAGAGGGTTGCAAGCTTGTTGAGTTGTGTCGTATCTGTCATACGCTGTTGCGGTGCCCGGATCATAAGGTCGATGTCCCGGAGCTGTTACAACACCTGTGTCATATGCGCGCACTGCCATTTCGGAGGAGTAAGCCACGATCGGCCTGCTGATATTATTAGCGTTACTGTTCACACTGTTCATTGTATTGTACTGTCTACCAGAGTGATCTGGTCGGTGGTGATAAAGTTCGTCTGATGAAGTTGCTACCATTGCTGAGGAATCGTATGGCGACCTATGAGAAATCTGATGAAGTGTCCGAGGGTCTTCTACTAGCGACATGGTACTGTAAGGTACTGGTGGCGGTGGTGGGTGATGTGGATGTTGATGGTGTTGAGGTACAGGGTGGTGTGGATGAGGGGGGTGTTGGAGATGGTGATGCGTGCCACTTGACATGGGGTTAGCACCTCCCCCTCCACCACCTACACCCCCACCACCGCCGCCACCAGCAACCGCTGATCGCGACCCTAATGTGTCCATACTGGATACAGAAGAGGAATTAGAATCCTGATTGAGATATGGCGATGGATCGAAGCTAGTTTGTCTGAGGGGAGCTGGAGGAGGTGGCGTACACGATCTGCAAGAACCAGCGCCGGCAGCTCCCACTACAGCACCTACACCAACACCTGCACCAGTCCCATTAGCGGCTTCTGTTTTGGGTACCAGCAACTCGCCTCGGATACCAGTGTTACTACAGCAACTGTTTGCACCCGTCACTTCTGTTTTGGGGATCACTTTACCGGCAGACCCTGTCGATGTGCCCGTGCTACTGCTGCTCCTGCTGTGGGAGTCGATATCCTCAGGAGTTTTGGGCTGTTTGATGTTTCCTGGCGTCGGTTTATTACAATTCCCACTACTACCAGTATAGTAAGGCGAGTGCACGAAGTCTGATTTCCCACCAGGGGTTAGAGGGAATTTGTCTGAGGTCTCTTTTGCAGTGCCGTTGCTCGAGGTAGAAGCGTAACCCATGGAGTAGCAGGGCTTCACGTCCGTCTGCTGTAAGGAGCATCCGGAGGTGGTCGCCATCATGTGTGAAGGTGGGGCCAGAGACGTTTTGCTTACGAACCCACTGCCAGCGGCAGCAGACGTGAAGTTGGACTGGCAGTTCGGAACTGCAATGTAAACATGAAAGTGACAACTATCATAAATGGAGTATGTGCTGCCAAATTTGCACCAATTCGGACATTGGTACAATACTGCTGCGATAATTCGAAGATTGGCAAACTTCGTGAGATGTTAGGTAATTGTTTTTCTTTTGTGATCTCATGGCCTCCTCATATTTGGGCTTCTGGAAGAGCGATCGATTAAATAACAACGCCTTTACATCACTGTCGATATATCTGGATGTCGAGTGATTTATGATTTTAACAACGGATAAAACACAGTAAACGTTTATAAGGCATGACTGCAGGCTCCCTCGTCTGCGGAAATGAAGATGGCTGTCTTCTGGGATGTTGCGCCGTGTAGACAGGTTGAAGTTAACCGACGCTTTTGACGTGATTACCGCCTAATCAACAGGACGATGAGTCAAGCTGATGATTGAGGCAATAAGCACGTGTGAACGTCCGTCAATTTCCACCAGACTACTCGGCGTAGCATCCCAGAAGACAGTCATTTTTATACTGGCTGCAGTGAGAACCTAAAATCTAATATATTGACTACTTCATCCATAAAAGATAACAAGACTTAAAATATACAGTGGGAGACTGACTGAAGTTTAAAGAGTCTTTTCGGTGTGATGGGAATTTTAGATTTACGAGCTATTTGCACATGGACCATGGTTTCTATTAATATTCACTTTTTGAAGAAACAGCTTCGTGTGTTGGCATGGATCTAGCCTTTATGTATATGTTTATAATGAAATTCTGTACTTGAAATCTGCAATGTAGTTTTTGAGTATTAACATCTGAAGTCATGTTCACCTTCATGGATAACAGAAATCATCAAACAGTTATCCTTCACTAATTAGACTCGGGATCTTGTAACATGCAGGACTGTGATAACGGAAATGTGGAATACGGTACAGATGTGCTGGCCACATGGAAAGTTCTAATGATTCGTACAAAAAGTTAAGATATGCAGAGTTTATAAATGTTGGCGGTCTCTTGACATCTCTTATCTGACAAAAAGATCAACGATATTTTGAAAAGTGGTGCAATTTGAACTAGAACTACAATGAAGAATGAAGATGAGTTGTTATGCAAGCCACCGAACTTCACAATAAAGATGGATAATCAACAGTAAACAGATTTCGCGAGGACAATAAAATACATTTTGGAGGGATCTAAATATTTTGTTTATTATTTGCAATACACTTGGAGAGGCGTTTCGTAAACGTAGAAAAAGAAAAAATAGGTATAGGCTAGGTATTTAGTAGTAAATTCGGCAATAAATATATTATCTATAAACATGTCTCAAAACACTTGAAGGCCTATACATAGGGAGCTTACAATCAAATGTAAAAAATGTTATAGTTGAAACACTTAAATTTATTTCAAAAACATATTTTACCACTTCAAATTAGAAATTGTAAACACGGCATAAACAAAAAAAATAACTTTATTTATTTTCAGTTAATTCGACCAAAGTATTGTTACTTTTCAAGGATGCAAACAATTATTCTTCGTAATATATCAGATATCGCGTAAGCAACGTAATTATAATGTGGTGTTGAAAATTTGTTCTCAGATGGTATGGCTTTTTCTGTAGTAACATCAGTCTGAAGGTTTAGAAACGCATAATATTTTCATTGATTTCTTAGAACACTTTAAACTATAAACTTGAATTTCGGTTACGAAACATGGAAAAAAGGGGGGGGGGGCAGCAAAAATCTGTTGGGACTTCAAAAAATTTTAAGTAGTAATTTCCACGTACCAGTTAGTGTCCGAATTTCCATAGAACTCATGGAGTGTGGGGAATATGTGTTTACACTTGTTGACTTTTATGCGCACTTTTTAGGAGGAAAGGCGCTTGTAAAGACAGGCGTCTGGCGGCAAAACTGGTACAAAATGTAGGCCTATTGCGTCGTACTGTCGCACTGACCTGCCAAGGAGGCAGCGGTGGCAATGGCCGTCCCCGCCCCCGTAGTACGATGATGGTGTTGATGGAGCTTGTGTTCTCGGGACGCCTGCTTGTTTGCGGCGGCGATAGGGCAGCCAGACAAGCTCCGATGAGTATTGCGATTGGTGCTAACATGACCCCGACCATTGCAACCAGGGGTTGGGCATTTCAGGATAGTCTCATGCATCGCCAGGACTAATGACATGGACAACAGAATCATCCAATCAGTTTTGATTTGAGTATAAACGACCTTTATTTTTTTTATGAAAAAGACCTGTTGTGTTTTAGATCGTTAGCTATTCCTTCTTTATTTCTGCACTTTTATCTTCATGTATACTCAACAGTGTGCGACGTTTACTGATAAAATAATCGAAACGCAAACATAGAAAAGAGAAAGAAATAAAGGAGCGGGTAGAGAGTAAATAATAAAAAATAAAATTAAATATTGGTGCTATGATTAAAGTCACAGTTCATTCTTACATTTATCACAAGTGTCCGAGTTTTTACAAAGAAGGAAAATGTTCAAAGACAAATATTTTGAAATCAGTTTCTTATTTGCAAGAGAATTAATGACATCTGAAGAACATTACCAAATCGACACATGGGTTAAGAAAATTAATAACACTAAAAGTAATCATTGCAAGAAAGATCATTTGAAAGAAGAAAATAAAGTATGAGGCTTGAAAGACCAGTTATATCGAGGTATTATTTCAAAACGTGTTGAAATTTATTTTCTGCTTGCTGTGTGGAAACATAAAGGTGTATTATACTCAATCAACATTATCAGATTCTGGTGCATGCCCTATTGAAGTTTGGAACAAGTGTAATCGAAAGAGGTGGTGAAGTAGAACGCACTAAGGTGTAAAATAAGACAATAAAAATGATAAAACGAAACAAATCATTTGGAGATGTGGTGTATTACTAATTACTACTAGAAATTATCAGGCCTTATTTATTAAAAACAAACAAATAAATAATCAGCTCTCTACCCCGCAAAGAAAGCAAAACACAGGAGCAAAGTCAAATGTAGCAATAAAAGAAACGAACTATTGTATGCAGTAAATACAAAGATACAAAAGCCCCTACTTCTTCGTAAACGAAACATTCTTAGAACAACAAATTGAAGTACGAAGAAATGCTTGACTTACTTTCTGGAGTAACTTTATCCTTCCTTGGACATCCTGACAGGCTGAGAAGAGAACATGAAAAATATCTATCCCCACGTTTCAAGGAAAATCATGTAACTTCATTTGTTTAATAATAGACAACAACAGTATAATACTTTTTCAGAACGTAAAATTTATAAGCGTTACGTGAGACACACTACATTAACGGATGGGCAGCAAACCCTTCCTCGTAATGTACACACAGTGTTAAGATAATTACCTTCTGTGGTGAGAGTACAGTCCGGTCACATGGCCTTGTCCGTTACAACCTGGGGTTGGGCATTTGTTGCCTTCTGCAAATAAATGAGAACGTAAAAAAGTACGATCGTAAATGCCTGCTTTCATGTTCATGAGACTGGGACGTGCACTAATCTTCTTCTTCTTATTCTTACTATAAAAATTTGTGATTAGTCGTTGTCATCAAAAAATGATGTCATCAACAATGTCAACTATAAACAAAATCGGCATTGTTGTGGAACACAACAATGCCGAGTAAACAAATAACGCTTCACAACAAAGAAATCAAAAACTATCAAGCCAGTCGCATTATCACTGCTCCAGAA